CCCCGGCCCTGACCTCACCTACCGGACGTGACCGCACGCGGGGTGGCGTGACGTCATCTCCCCGCGCGGGCGGGGTCGCTGTGAGGGCGGGCTGTGAGCGGGAGGCGGGAACCGCTGAGGGGAGTCGGGGCTGCGGAAAGAGCGAGTGAATCCCGGCAKCAAACGGGCTGGAAAACACCGCTGAGATCATCGGCTCCGACCTGTGACCGAGCACCACCTTGTTAACAGATAACAGTGCCGCGTCCGGTCGTTTCTTGAACACCTAGGCACGGTGACTCCACACCTCCCTGGGTAGCCCGTTCTAGTGTCTAATGACTCTTTCCGTGAAGAAATCCCTCTTGATGTCCATCCTAAGCCTCTCCTGGCACAGCTGAAGGCCGTTTCTTCTTGTCCTGTCCCTCATTCCTTGGCAGCAGTGCCCGACCCCTACCAGCTTGCTCCTTCCTTTCCAGCAACTGTAGAGTGAAAACGTTCCCCACTGAGCCTCCCCAGCTCCCTCAGCCGCTTCTGGTGCTCCAGACCCTTCCCCAGGTCTGTTCCCTTCTCTGGTCACACTCCAGCCCCTCAATGTCATTTCTGAATTGAGGGACCCAGAACTGGACAGAGTGCTCCAAGTGTGGCCTCACCAGTGCCMAGCACAGATGGACAATCCCTTCCCTGGCACTATTGCCACACCATTCCTTGTCTTAGGAGGCCATAAAGATGGTCAAGGGTTTTGAGCTGAAACCTTATGAGAAGGGATTGAGGTCACTTGGTTTGTTCAGCCTGGAGGAGATTGAGGTCAGACCTCATCGTGGTCTTCAACACCCTCCCAAGGGGCAGCACCAACCTCTGCTCTGTGACCAGGGACAGGACCTGAGGGAACAGCAGGAGCTGTGCCAGGGCAGGTTTAGGGTGGATATCAGGGAAAGGTTCTTCCCTCAGGGTGCTGGGGCACTGCCCAGGCTCCCCAGGGAATGGACACGGCYCCAAGGCTGCCAGAGCTCCAGGAGCGTTTGGACAATACTCTGAGGTACAGGGTGGGATTCCTGGGGGTCTGTGAAAGGCCTGGAATTGGATTGGATGATCTTTGTGGGTCCCTTCCAGCTGAGGATATTCTGTGATTCTGCACACTAAAGGCAGCAGCTCACTGTGTGTTTTCCTTCAGGGCTGTGCCAGCAGCTTCTGTCCTCATCCTCCCTGCCAGCCACATATTCCCACCCCATGGCTGCACCAGCACAGCTGCTTTTCATGGGACTACACACTGAATTGGGCCAACGAGCTGWTCTGGGTTAAAAATAGCCCTGCAAAAGAAAAAGTTTCATTTTATTCAGGGCAGTTCACAGACTGCATTACCACAGAAGTCTGCAGCAGGGAAGAGCTTAAGTTCCACTGGTGCCACAGAGGAACCATGTGYGTGTGTGGGCATGCACAAATTAAGAATTATATCTGTAAGAACAAAGCAATATTTACCACTTTTAGATTGTTTCCTAAGATCTCTTAAATCCCACAGTAATATCTGTAAGCGTGTGTAGAATTCTGCTCCAGCTCTGCTCAGTTATGGGAGCTTTTTTTCCTAGAAAGGAATGTACTTTTTCAACTGTGTGGTCTCCATGTGGCAGCACTTGCATAAACAATGTTAGAGCACAGCTGTCCCTGACTTGTGAGGRTGCTGGGCTCCCAATATCCTGCATTTTTGTAGGGCACTTTGGAGCCCTGTAGCTGTCTCCTGGATGGGACTCTGGCATTGTGTCAGGTAACCAGGGTTCTATGAACCTTCACAATATCCCAGTGAGAAAATATTCTGTCTTACAGGTGGGGAGCCTGTGGTTCATCAAACCCACCAGAGAACACCAGGTGCTTGATTTCAGCTTCACAAATGAACATCCGTCCTCTGCTGATCCTCTTCTCTCTCCAGATGGACTGGCGGTAGGAGCGAGCCCTAATCCATTTGGAAGCCACAGTCCCAGTTTCCGTGGTGATGTGTRGGGTTTGCTGGCCAGCTGCAGGAACAGCACACACACTTCCATGGGTTTTTAACAGGTTTGAAAAGCTGCAGATCCTTGTTGGGGAGTTTAATCATATCCGCAGGAACACGTGTTCGTTCTGTTCACTGCTCAMAGACCTCAAACAAACAAATAAACCTGGACCTAATTCACCATTTTTCTGACTCTTGCCAGACCGCTGCAAAAAAGTCTTCTTTTCACTGCAGGCCCACAAATTGTTGTTTTCCCCCTCCCTTCCCAATCCTCATCTCTTATTCTCAGCCGAACCCCAAAACTGCAGGAAWTGGTGTTTTCCATCAGGTTTTGGTTTTGATTTTCGCTCACGTTGGAAATTCTGTTGCACGATCTCCCTCTGGTGGTCATAACCGGGGAAACGGATAACGCTCTGCCCTAAGTCGTTCCTGCAAGTGTTTTTAGCTGGAATGATTTCATAGAACCATGGAATGGTTTGGTTTGGAAGGGACCTCGTAGATCATCCTGTTCCAACCCCCACCCAGGAGGACAGGGACACCTTCCACTATACGAGGTTGTTCCATCCAACCTGGCCTTGTGCACTTCCATGGATGGGTTGTCCACAGCTTTGCTTCTACAGTAATTTTCTAACTTTCATTATTTTTAACAGCCTTTCCTTACTTAGCGTTTCTGACAATGAGTGGTAGCTTTCCCCACATTTCTTTTTCCCCACATTTCTTTTTCCTCCCCTATGCAAACACTGCACCCCTCAGTGGTTTACCACCTTTGACCCATCCTTGCTGCACAAAGGCTACAACAAGGCAGAGCCCTTCTGCCCAATCCTGCTTCCTACAGGTTGTAAAACTTAACATTTTAAGAGTTCAGGAGATCTTTCACAGGCAGAGGGATTGTAGAGAGGAATGGGAAAGAAAAACAAAGCTCTGGGGCACAGTCTMARAMAAAAAAAAAAAAAAAAACCAGCTTGTAATTCTGAAGAATTCACTGTTAATAACAAGATTTTGAAAGATGTTACAAAATGTTGTGAAAATATTCTGTTTACCCACCTGGCACCCTGGTTTCCCTCTCTTGATTTTGTCCCTACCTGTTGTCCAGAGATTCTTTTTTCCTGAGAAGCTCTAAAATTTTGGCAGCCAGTCTAAAGCCACAGTCAATCAGTAGAAAGTTTCTTGCTGAGTTCAATGAGTGAGTTTTGAAAAGGTGCCAAGCATCGAGTGCTGTAGTACAGCAATATTCTGTCCGAGGTGACATTCAGGGATGGTAAAACAAAATAAGGAAACACCTGGGTTAGCCAAGGGTTCATCTGCTCTCTGCTGACAGCAGTGCAAGGTGACTTGGTGTCACATAACCATGTCCCAATCATTCCTTGAAGGGTTTGGCTTTGTAAGGCTGGGCTAGAGCATATAGCAATACCTTGTCCTACTTACAAAATTAAAACTAAAGGAGGAGAAATTCCATCTTTTGGTTTCTTTTCCACGTGACCTGAAGAAATAGCATTTCTGCCAATTTCCTCTTGCAATTAGTTCAAATTCAGCTGCTCACAGGAGGTGCCTGTGTCCTGTTTGTTCCTTTTCTTCACCTCATGTGTGGCCCCTGCCAGAACTGTTCACACCTGACTTGGAACTGTCACCAGTGTCAGAAGTTCCTGCCAGGTGCTGCTGTGGGATGTCAGCACCAAATGTAGCATTTTTGGTGAACGAAGGTGACGTGAGCCCTTGTGTAATGAGCTCTGTGTGGACACTTGGGAATAAATAATCCTGGAGTGAGTGATCGGTAAAAWGATCTCTTGGATCTTGATCTCACTGGATTTTGTGTAAGGGGAGGAGCCTTTATGCTACCAGCTAAGAATTTTCTTTGTGACAAAGTCTAAATTTGAATTTTCCTGGGAAGTACCATCAGTTCAGAGGGAAAGTGATGTAGCACAAGTAATGGACTGGAGAGGGTTTATTTGTAAAATATGCAGAAATGGGGCGAGGAGAGCCTGAGGAGGAGGGGAGGGTCCTGCAGCTGGAGAAATAGTAGGAATTCTTCATGGTATAATGATAACTCACAATGATAGTGTGGCTGTGTAGCCTGGCCGTTGTGGTGTGAAATAATAATGCCAAAACAGGAGCAAATCCTCAGCTAGAACAGGGCTCTGGTCTGCTGTGTGTGAAGGAATGGAACTGATTAGTGCAATTAGGGGAATGAAGAACCTGTCTCATGGAAACTGGTGAAACCATGTGGTTTATTTAGGCCAAGAGGAGACAGCACTGCTTTCCTGGAGAGCCTGGACACCATGGGACAAGGCAACCAAAAGAATAACTGAGCCCCAGAACAATGGGACACAACACTGCAAACAACTGCAAGCTGAGAATTAGTTTAGCAGCCATGTAACATTCCGCTAGAACGGACAGGAGGGGAAAAGTGAATATTGTTAGACTTCAGATAGTTAAAAAAAAGCAAAACGAAATTTTTTTTAGAAGCTTGGGTTCTGTGTCTGTGTCTTTCCCCGGGGCCGGGGGTATGCGGGGACACACCGCCCGCTGGGGCCGCGCTCGGCCTGGTCTCTGTGGCCGTTCTCTGCCCTGAGCCCCGTGGCCTTTAACCGGCTCCGTCCCGGGATGCGCTGGGTTCGGTAAACGGCGGGCTCAGGGGTGCGTTAGCGCTCGGGGAGGCTCGGGGTGCAGCGGGCTCGGGTGCGCTGGGGCTCGGTGGACTCGGGGGTGCGCCGGGCTTTGGGGTGTCCTGGGCTCGGGGTGCATTGGAGTCGCGTTGCGCTGGATTACGGGGGTTCACTGGGCTCGCAGTGTGTTGGGTTCGGGGTGCGCTGGGCTCAAGGGGTGCACCCGGCTCGGACTGCGCTGGATTCGGGGTGCCCCGGACTCGGGCTCCGCTGGGTCTCGGGGGTGCGTTAGATTCGCGATGCTCCGGGGTGGGCGCTCGGCGGAGCCGGGCCGTGCCGTGCTGTTYTACGGGCGGCGCTCGGGGCCGCTGCGCTCCGCCCGCCCGGCGCTCCTGGCCGCTCTCCGCGCTCGGTGCCGCCCCGCCGCTCTGTGCCGCGCCGCGCTCGTCTCGCTGGCCGCGCTGGGCGGGCCTGGCGGAGCCATGGCGGCCGTGCGGGGCCTGCGGATCTCGGTGAAGGCGGACGCCACCGCCACCACGGCGGAGCCGCGCGGCGCCGAGCCCGAGCCCATGGAGGTGGAGGAGGGCGAGCTGGAGACCATCCCTGTGAGGCGTTCGCTGCGGGAGCTCATCCCGGTGAGGGGCGAGACGTGCGGGCGAGGAGGGGCTGGCTCCGGCGGTTGGGGGTGTCTGAGCGCTCTGTGAGGGCTTTTGGGGGGGATTCCTGGGAAAAGGAGGGGTGTGGAAGCGGGGAAATGAGGGGACTCGGGGGTGTCCGAGGGGAGCGTGGGGGCGAGTCCTAAGGAAGCGGGCGGGGTGTGCTGGGGAAGGAAGGGAAGAAAGGAGGCGGTGGAGAACCGGATTTGGGGTGCACTGTTGGGGTGTACAGGAGGCTGTGGGTGGGAGAGGGTACAGGGAATGTTTAATGCAGGGAACACAGAGAACAGGGGCTCACCACGGAATAGGAGAGCTGGGAGTGCGGGCTCTGATCAGCGAGCTTTGAGGGTTTCCTGCCCGATGTTTTTGTGCCCTTTTTCATTCTCGCTAATTGTTTCCGTGCAAGTTTCGGTACGATTAGGTTTAACAGCTAAAAATGGGTCAGAGCTCTAAAATCCTAAGTAGTCTTTTGCTCTCAAAACTTGGGTGAAAATTGCTTTGGAAGCTAATCTTTAATTAGCTGGTCTACCAAAGGGCTTGTGCTTCTACCCAACATGTGGCCTGAGACACAGCACCCTGCTGTACTTCCTTGTGCTCCGTGAGTCAACGTCAGACACTGGGGATTTTCAACTTAAAAAATCATGTTTATTTTGTTTTTCTAGTAACTCTGAACATTTGGCAGCATGAGAGGAATTTTGATGCTGTTACTAAGAAAAGCAGTTGGATTATGTGTGTTCTTTGGKCTTTCTAAACTGAGACTAACTTACTTCTAGAAATTAGCCAAAGTAGTAATTGCAGCACAAGTGTAAAGAACACATTTACTCCTAAAGAAAATAAGAGGTGTTCTTCCAGCTTCAAACCTTTGCCAGCTGAGGGTGTCAGAATGAAGAGGTGCCATTTTACAGATGCAAATAATGGAGGGCACAGAATTGGGTCGTTGGTCCAGGGGCTGTGRGGTTTAGTCCATCTCTGAATTCAGCAGTCCTGATTGATGGACAGGAAACTTGTAATTTTTTCCACCTGTCATTCTCCACTTTTACCCTCTCTCAGTATTAAAACAGTAATGTTTCACCCTGGTACTTGGAATTTGGTTTTGAAATAATAATAGGAATGAAAAGTTACTTGTTGAATTGTGGATGTGGCTTGGTGTTTTGTCTTGTTGAGATTAAAAGCTGCAAACTGTCATTTCAGTAGTCAGATATCACTGTTAAATCTGCTCATGTTTTACAAGGAAGTTATACCCAAAGCCARAATTGTGGAAGGTTTACTGGGGAAAGATATTTGATGACTTTCCCTTTATTTCTGAGAGAGTAAAAACCTTGACAGCAGCTGGCATAGAAACGAAATTTTGTCATAGAGAAGAATCCTYACAGTAAGGGAAGTTTGGTTCAGTTTGTGTGCTTTTACTTTCACTGCCATCTGAGAACGTTATTAGTTTTGTGCCTGTCTGTCTGGGGATATAGCTTGGATCAAGAAAAAGAGGATCTATGCCTTGTAGAAATGATCAGAGTTGGGTTTTTTTCAGTATAACAAGTGTTGCTTTCAATTCTCATTGAGATTTCATCACCATTTCACTTTGTCTCAGGACACCAGTCGGAGATATGAAAACAAAGCWGGAAGTTTCATTACTGGAATAGATGTAACTTCCAAGGTAATTTTTGTACTATGGCTCTTCAACATTTTGTTATTTTTCCCACTGGAGAGGTGGAACTGTTTCATTTATTTCTTCCCCAACATGCACAAAGGCTTAACCTGGTGTTCAGACAACTGGCATGAATCAGTGTGTGTTCTGAAGAACCAAAAACCTATAATGCTTCTWATAAAATCTGGAGAACAAGGAGCTTCTCAGTTTCCAAAATTGCACAAGTTCCAGGCAGGCTGTTGCTTATGAGCTGCATCAGAGAAGCCTGCGTTGCCACTCAAAAAAAAGTTYTCTAGAGCCAGCTCTCCAATGTTAAATTCATACCCAGAGACACAAATTCACACTTTTTTGTATATTTAAAATACAGGAAAAGAAGTCTGTAATCTTAAAAGATTAATTTTGTCTGGGGTAGAAATGTTTCTTTTAAAAGATTTTTTTTTTATATTTGTTAGTAAGGAAAAGATAATGTTCCTCTTCCATCATGGAGTCTGTGTTGTCCAAGACCTTGTTTTCCATTCATCTTGATTCCCATTGSTGGACCTACACAAAACCTGTTCAGTGCTACAGCAACATTTTGGTGAATTACTTCTACGTCTGAAACATACAGATCTCCTTAAAATTAATAGAATTAATAATATAAATTATTGTTAACTGGTAGATTTTAAGTATCCTCCTGTGCAGTTTGTTGAGGATGCTCCTGATTCCTGTTTTGAGTGGATTGTTTTGYGTTTCACAGGAAGCAATTGAGAAGAAGGAACAAAGAGCCAAACGCTTTCATTTTCGGGCYGAGGTGAATCTCGCCCAGAGGAATGTGGCCCTGGATCGGGAYATGATGAAGAAAGGTAGAGTTCATCCAGCAGTCAAGAGAAAAGATCCCTTTGTTTACTTCCTCACAGTGTTTTGACTTGATTTATCCTCCAATATTTTCTGCATTCCCAGAGGTTTTTCCAGATTGCTGCCAAAAGGAATCACTTTGTTTTTTTCCATCTTTTCGTTTCAAAGTCATTGTTATTTAACCTATTTGACACTTGTGAGTTCACTCTTTGTTTTACCAACTCCAGGACAAAGACAACATTTTCTGTGTGCCTTATTTACTAGTACTCCATGCCCRAGATTGATCTTCTGGATCAGTGCTRCTTTAARAACCTTTAAATTCTTGTTAAAACCGGCCCTGGAGCACTGTGTGGGTACAYGTGGAGGACTCTGTGTCCTGTGCACACAGGGAGATCAGACTCTGCTGTACACACAGTGAAGCTGCACTGATGGCAAGCTGCAGTATCAGCCAGGAGATGTGTGCACAACAGATTGGTGCTTTTGGCACCCAGTTCGTTCTCAAGGCTTTTTTTCTGACTGGCAGCTTGGAACTGCTAAGCCTGGCCTCTAGGCTCCCCATCAGGTGATACAAGTGGAAGTGYTTTGTGCAGGGCTTTGTTTAGTTCTGGCTCTTTAGTACTTAATGATAGCGCTTTGGCAGTGTTWAAAGAGAAAAAAAAAAGTTTTTCAAGCTGTTTGGTTGCTGTGCAGTCTCTGCATCCACCAAGTGCTGTAACCTCTTTCAATTCTCAATTTATTAAAGTTTTGCATTGTGTAAGAATGAATTTATGGTGTATGTCATGCTTCATTCCAATGAGTTCTTCTTTAATTTATATAAGGTATTTGCTTTGTAAACCCATATGTTACTAATCTGAAAGCTTGAAATAAGTACCAGTTTTGTGTTTCTTCCTCTTTATAGCAATTCCTAAAGTGAGACTGGACACCATTTACATTTGTGGAGTGGATGAGATGAGTACCCAGGATATCTTTGCCTATTTCAAAGAGTATCCTCCTGCTCACATCGAGTGGCTGGATGACACCTCATGTGAGTAAACAGWGTATTTGTCATTCTGACTCTATTTTTTAAATACTGGTCATAGCTGTACCTATAAGTGGAGAAAAAAAAGGTCTAGAATATGAGCTGCTTCAATCCTGACATATCTGAGAGAAGGTGATTGAGCTGTGCTGTTGGGCAGGTTGGGATGGTTTTATGTGGAGGAGGAGGAGACTTGTTGCCATGTTTGTTTGGTGCGTGCTCAGGGAGAAATGGGTGGGTGGAAGGAGGGGGCAGCTGGGTGTGATTTCCACAGATTGGGAAAGGAATGTAGGTGCACACAGCAAGGGCTGTTTTGGGGTGTGAGATTGCCAGCAAGATCAAAGAGTTGTGCTTTCCTCACTGATACTGASGGTTGGAGAAGAGCTGGGTGCTGGRTCATGGAACTGGARTGCTCTGAGGCTGTCATATGGCTACAAACATTGTGCCTGTRATGATAGAAGAAGAAATAAAACCCAGTGTAGGTTTTCCAAATTGCTGGGAACTTACTGTCAAGCGTGGCTGAGAGCTGAGAATCAGCAGCTTCATTCTCTGGAGTGACCCTGAAGAAATTCTGTTCCAGTGSAAGACAAAATAGATGGTGTTCTACAAAATAGTGGTAACCTTGAAGTCACTGTATGTGACAGCTTGATGTACTGGCACAAGCAGGAAGAAAATTTGAAACCCAATGAGCCCTGGGTGGATAATTGCAGTACAGAGCTGCTGCATGGACCTGTGCTGATGCRTGAGCTTGGAAATGCACAGCTGAGCTCTGTGTCTGAGGCTGCATTTCTAAGATGGTCTGTTTGCTTTTTCTTKAATGCTGCATGAGTAAATTAATGTGAAAATTAAGTTTTCAGGGTTATAACAATACTTTACCCGGTTACAGTTATTACACATCTTTTTTTTAGTGCTGAATTTTCATGCTGTGGCTGAGTTACCATCTCAGCTACAYTTGGTGAAAATATCAAGAAAAAGCTTTGTCTTTTCAGCATGGATTTGCAGCACAGCATGGCAAGAACTTCAGTGTTCCTAACTGCATTGTATCTTAAGGTGACTTAGTACAAAGGTGAACTTAGTGTTCTATGAAATTATMAAGGTTTTGAAAATTTGGAGATGAGAAGATGAGCCAGACTGAAAAAAGATATATATTAACCAGTCATTGAAGTTAATATCTGGGTGTTCTTCACCTTGTAATTCCTTTCTGAGAAATCCAAGAGACAATCTCTTACTTTGGGCCAGGCAGTTTTSTTGATATCTGAGTACACTCTGCTTAACAGCAGAACAGTGACATTTGTTGCTCTATTTGCACCAAGTGCAGAAAGCTTTTGTTCAAATCCTGTTTCTAAGCAGTTTTAGCTCTTTCAACAGCTATGAAATTGGCCCAATAAGTTATATTTTAGTGCCATCTGCTGATACTTAAGGCACATCCTGAATGATATTGCTGACCTGTGTACTCAATAATCTGTGCAAAGGGCTTGAGCAGTCTCYGGTTTCCCCCTATTTTCATGCTTTTTGGAAAAGATTAACAGAATTCTGCAGTAAAGTCCAAGGTTCTGTTAAATTGCCGAAGGGGAAAAAAAAAAATCCAGTCTTCATTCCTGCCCCCTGCTGCTCCCTTAATCACATTGTGTGGGAACACATGGATACACTGACCCCGATCCAGTGCCCTGATTTGTCGTGCTCAGGAAGCCTCTATTTCAGTGAGTTTGAGGTTTTGATCAGCTCTTGTGCTTTGAAATAAGCTGAAAATTGTGTGTCCTCCAGCTTATCAGGCATGTTAAAGAATATTACTTTCCTYGCGAGAGATCTGATGCCTTTTCTGTCATTTCTGAATTTTTGTCACTAATTTGCCTTCAGCAAGGCAGGGAATGTGACTGCTTGGTGACACAAACTGCATTTGGGTTTTGTGTGTGTTTTATCTGTCCCAGGTAACGTGGTCTGGCTCGATGAAGTGACAGCAACACGGGCTCTAATAAATATGAGTTCCCTGCCTGATCAGGAGAAAACAAAGAGCAGAGAAAACCATGAAGAGAAGACAGCTGAAAAAACCAAGAAAGGTAGATTGAGATATGCAAACACRGACATCATCTCATTAAATCAATGAAACTTTAAACTTGTGCTGGGGCATTGCATAACCTAAATTACTGAAGGAGCTTCTATCATATAGTTTCAGGTAAATGTATTCTGCCACTTTAAAAAAGGCTTTCATCTTGGAAACCTTTTGAAGAAGCTGCTTCTTAAAAGGTGGGTTGGAGCTAGACCAAAAGCAGTCATTCAGTCGATACTAAACGTGTTAGATAGGCTGATACTGAGAGCTGGTATTTATAGTGCTACGTGGTGCACAGAAATARCTCTGTGTGATGTGCCTACAAAGGCAGGGAAAGTGGGCAAAAAGCAGGTGTTGAGGAGAAAATGGCCTATTTTTGAAATGCCACAGCTAATTCCTTTTTTGATGCATCCTTGAAGTACATCCTTCACGCCAACATGATGGTGCATCACTTCACCGGGTGTGCATCAGCTCTAAATTTGGCTGGTTGCCTTTGAAGAGAGGAGTTATTAAAAGGTTGCCCATAAAAGAGCAGAGCAGCAAAAGTACATCTCAGTGTCATGATAAGTCTGCTATATGAATGCCTTGATTGTAAATTTATTTTCCTTTTATACGTGGAAGTTTAAAGGCAGCATTTTGCTGCTGTGAGCTTGCAGGTGCTGTATCACATGGTACAGAGCAAAGATAGTTGTATTTATTAACTTCTCCATAGATTTTGCTTTAAAAATGTTATATATGACCTAAATGCAAATAGCTAATCTCACCATTAAACACCAAAAGCCTTTCTGGGAAATTAGGTGTTTAAGGCTTTGTTAAACTTGTGGATTCTTCTAATTCACTCCCTTTTCATGCTCTTTTCTCTACAAAGCAGTGGCTCCTCAACCATCCACATGACTTTAATTTTTGGCCAAACATTGATAATGCTTCGACTGAGACTTGTTATGAAACTTTTGGCAATTAGGGACATTGCTTAAACAAAGCATAAATATATGTATTTAATCCTGTTTGCTACAAATCGCTTATTACATTATCATTACATCACATCTGAAAATAAGAGCTGTCATCTGAATTACCCCCATTCCTCTGGAAAAGTGAGATATTAGAGAAACTAAAAGTACAGACTGTTCAATTACATCTTAAGGTGTGAGATGCATACAGAAACCCTGGAATCATCTGGCTTGGTTACATTCCTTTTTCAGATAGGAATTTCAGGGCTATTTAGACATCTAGGGAAGCAAGAGATTGGTCTTTACTGTGAGAAGCAGGAGAAGCTTCTAATTTGTTGGGGGGGGGGAAAATGCATGGATACAGTCCCTGATGGAACTTACCCAAATTCAGACCTGAATAATTAATTTGTTTATCTAAATTCTCTCTTTGGTTTCATTTTGGTTAATTTTGCTTTTATTGTTTTAACTCAGGAATATTTTCAGGATCTTTTGAACTGCTGCCACTGCCTATTTTACATTTTCAAGCCTATTGTTGGATGAGATTTAAGATAAGGAACTCTGAAATATAAAAGAGAGGCTTTTTTAAAATCTTGTGCCTGTGAAGTACTTTGAGATCTTTGCAAATGATACCGGCATATCACACTTCATAGCTGTCCATATTCATTACTTTTTTTACAATATTTTATTTCCTGGGGGCTTGGGAAGAAAATCTGTGTGAATTTTCTTACACTGAGCTTAAAAAGAACTCAGAAAAATCTGAGCAGCTTACAATTTTAGCAGTTCTGGAAGCATGCACTTTTTTATTAGTTACAGCAAAATTAAGTCACTAAGGTTGTTTTTTTTTCCCCTTTCTACTGCTCTCTCTCCGAAACCTGCAAGCTTTTGATTAATAACCAGTTTTACTCTGTTGATACTGGATATTTGTCGGCATTCTAAMAGGAGAGGGAAGGAAACAGGCTTTTATGTGCCTTTTAGTGTCTTAGCCTTGCTGATCTCTGCCAGGCAATGCAGTTCCATTTGCTTTCAAAGAATTAAATTCATGCTGCACATGTGCTGCTGCAGGCACAGGGCTCTGAATTTAACTGTGCTTCATGTGCTCCACTTTTCCATAGGCATTCACTGCTTTGATTATTCCCTAGAAAGGAAAACACCTTCAGGCTGATCTCAGACAATGTAGGTAATCATAAATCAAATGAGACTGACACACTAAAACGGAGCTTGGTTTTGTTTTTTGTTTTTTTCTTTTTCCCAATTATTTTCCTTAGAAAAACAGGAGGAAAGCTCTGATGATGAAACAGAAGAAGGAGAGGTTGAGGATGACAATCCCAGTGATGTGGAGGTCAGTACAGAGGGAAGGTGGAAACGCTGCTATGGAAGTTTTGCTCTGGCTGGTGCGAAGTTTTCACAGCATTTTGGATTTATATTTACAATTCACAATTTAATTACCAAAATTAATTAGGTGGGGAGTGAGAGGGAGTGCAGGTGTGCTGTCGGTGATAATCCCAATGTAAGAAGGTTTTGTGAAAAGAATTTTGAAGAGTTTAAAAGTGAAGTCTGGCTTCTCTTTTTTTGCTGAGAGGAGGCAATGAAAGAATAATAATGGAAGGCAACGACCTTTCAGCAGGGAAAGTGCTGAGACCCGATGGGATTTAGACTGCCCCTGGATCTGTGGGAATCAGCACATACATTGATGGCCTGGCAGCAATTTAATCTTCACTGGCTGAGTRTATAATAGGTGTGATTAGGATTTCCTTTAGGAACGGTTCAGTGAACACTCTTGCATTGTGGAAGTCTGAATTTTGGTTTCTGTAAAGCAAYTCTCAATGAAAAAGAAAGGTTTTTAGTGTGTGAGGGCATGAAAACCTGTTAATAAAATCMTTTAGATATGAAATGAGGAAAAAGTAAATTTTTTCACTATCCAAGTTGTGCTGTTTATTTTCTGCATTTCAGAATCAGMGTCATTTGACAGTTAGTGGGTTTAATAATCTGTGTTAATGTTATAAAGCAAAAGAAGGAAATATTGAAAATTTTCAGAGCAATTTACATTAAAAACTAACATGAGTTTGTCAAAAAAAACCAGAGTTCATTTGAACATAACTTGAAAAGTAACTTTCTTAATAACCACTTGATTGCTTCTCTGTAAGCAATAATTTTTTTTTGTTCAACAATCATTTGATTTTTGAGCCCAAAAATATCTTTTTTGTCCCCAAAGTTGGATGCCCTCTCCCAAGTAGAAGAGGATTCTCTCCTGCGTAATGACCTCCGTCCTGCCAATAAACTGGCTAAAGGAAACAAGCTATTCATGAGATTTGCTACTAAAGGTAAAWGACCACCTTAATTGCTTCTTGTAGATTTATTTGTTSACTAATTAATGATTCAAAGTTCCTGCTTCTTAYTTAAAATYGTTYGTTTCTTGCTGATTGTTAGGTGTTRAGATTTTGCCATAAATCCACTTTTCACGTGTCAATTAAATCCATTTCAAGTCGTATGAAAATTGCTGTACATGGAAATTGTACCTTGGGCTCAGGGCATTCTCYCCAATACCATGGAATAAGTTTTATGATGCATTTTTCCAGGGGTAAATCCCACATTTTATAAATATGGATATAACTTGAGATGCCAACGAGGGATTAGTGGAAATTATTGCTAAATACTCATTTGATTTATAAGTAAAATGAAAATCCACATCATTTCTGGACCATGCCAGATCCATAAAGAAAAGAAAGGTGATGAAGAAGGTAAGGAGAAGCCTCCAGCAGTCACAGGGGGATGTAATGGTCTGTTAAGCTGATCTGTAGRAACCCAGCCTCCCTGGAATTAAGTTTCTAGACACAAATAAAAACTCTGGTGGTAGGRGAAATTCCAGAGGTGTCAGCAAAATTGAATCCTTCATGGAGGAGGAGGGTGAAGTAGTGCTGATTTTAAGGCCTACTCAGTCTCACTCTCTGTGCCTTTGGATGATTATTTATTTTTATTCGGTTTTATTCTGAGAGGGAAAAAATTCCTATAATTTGTGGTTTTTGCAGATGACAAAAAGGAGCTGGGAGCTGCAAGGAGAAGCCAGTATTACATGAAATATGGCAATCCMAATTATGGAGGCATGAAGGGAATTCTCAGCAATTCTTGGTGAGTGTTGGGCAGAGGAATTGGAACATTGCAGGTAATTGGACAAGCTATTTAAAACTGTTTTAATTCGTAGATTTTAAATTTAGTTTATGTAGATGCTTCAGTGTAAATAATATTTTTGCAATGTGAGGGTGAGTGAAAATAAAGATTCAAATCATTCAGACCAGATCTGTGACATAAATGCATGTCTGCTGGTAAAGGAGGTGATAATTCCATATCCGTAATCCAGGATTTAGGGCTTAATGAAGGATTTAGGGCTGTGGCAGGAATGTCATCCTTTCTCTGTTTCCCAGGAAAAGAAGGTACCACTCCCGTCGAATCCATCGGGATGTGATCAAGAAGAGGACACTGATTGGGGATGACGTTGGTTTGACTCCTCCCTATAAACATCGGCACTCAGGTGACTGGTGGCACTGGGACAGCATTGTGGGGACACTGAGATGTGGAGGGCTGGGCAGGAGCTGGAGCAGTACCTCACCAATCCCTTGGGATGCGTGGAAGTTTTTTTTTTAAAAAAAATCTGAATTCCCATTTGAAGAGTTTACAGGAAATTCCTGAGGCAGAAAGTCCACGCTGCTCGTTGCTTCCCAAAATAGCTGCTGCTTTTTATCTGGTGTTTTTYTCTTACAAATTTAGGGCATGGGGACTGTGGCCTTAAAGGCCAAAGGAAGGGATGAATGACTTCTCCATCCTTCTTGGCAATTTGTCATACTTGCTAAGTCAATTCTTGCAGTCTGTGGAAAGCAATCTCTGGCTGTGGAACAATAGGGATTAGAAAATTCTGTTCATCAGGGTCAAATATCTTCATTTACTRCCTAAGGTAGAAAAACAATGATTGTAAAAATATGACTTAAGTGTGATTTGTCTGTTAAAACTCCAGCCATTCATGTATCAAATCTCATGGAGGATTTTCCATGTTGATCATGTAGTGCTTTCTGAAGAGATGCCTGAATGCTGGTGAAGACTAAATTGAAATGATTTCTATTTTGATCARTATCAGTGATGAATTCATAACGATACCTGTGTTCTTTTTGGCATTGCTGCTTGCAGGGCTTGAAAGGATTATTGCAGAGCCAGCAKCTGGCACATTAAACCCTCTGAAATCCCAGGAATTGTGCTTAGCTCAGGAAGGAAGGACTGCAGCTTCTACACAGGGAGTTGTACTTTAATTACGCTGTCCAGCTTTGTGCTTGGCCAGGCCTCTGAGGTAGTTAGCACCAGGGACATTTTGTCCTGTAGCAGTTTTATTCCACTTAGGCTATTCTAGAATATTGATTCCACTTAAAATATTTGGCAAAATATTCTCTTTAAAAAGAGAGAGCTACTTAAARAACTCCAGGAGATCATCARTTACAGTCAGRTGGGGGTTTGTTGGTTTGGTTTTCACGTACATTATAGAGATGCTAAAATTCAGTTGTTCATAATGAGCTTGGTTTGCTRCAGGCTTGGTAAATGTTCCTGAAGAGCCCATTGAGGAGGAAGAGGAGGAGGAGGAAGATCAGGACATGGATGAAGATGACAGAGTGGTGGTGGAGTACCGGGATGAGCTGCAGGCTTTCAAGCAGTCCCGGGAGCGCAGCGCCGCCCGGAGATCCAGTGCCAGCACCTCCGACTCCGACGAGATGGACTATGACCTGGAGCTGAAAATGATATCCACCCCCTCGCCCAAGAAAAGCATGAAGATGACCATGTATGCAGATGAGGTGGAGTCCCAGCTGAAAAATATTAGGTAAAAGTTTCTAATTCTTTAGAAATATCAGTGAAATGGCATTCCTGATTTTAGTGACAGATCTGTTAAAATTTGGACACAAATTGTTGAAGCTACTTTGTCATTTTGCAGTAGATACTCTAAAAAGCAGTACAGAAATCAGGCTTTTAATAGAATTATTTTTTTTTTTAATCCGGCTTCTTTTGCAATCTCTCTATCCTTGCTTACTAATAATGAAACTCAGTAGAATCAATAGAATTTATGCAAATAACCACAATTAACAAGGAGTAATAACTCCTCTTTCTGTTTTCTCTTTACCCTTTGCTCTCTTTCYTTTTCTAACCCTTAATTGTTGATGACAAAAAGGATTTTATGTTCATTATGGGCTTATTAACCAAAACTGCATATATGGTAAATAAATAACTTTAACATCTGTCCCTTCAGGAGTATGGTTATACTTTCTATGATTTATTTAATAATTTAACATAACATGTATTTATAAACAGATTATATATATATATATATAATCTATTATCTATTAATAAATTATTTGATAATTTTGTGGTGTTTATCTGCTCTGAATTTTGACCCAGAGGCACAGCCTTAAGGAGGCAGACATGCCTTGAAATGGATGCTGAGGTATTAATGGAATTACTGTCCTATTTAGAATTCTGGCTTSAACAGAATCTTTTACTTCCTTTTCTCAGCAGAGAAATCCTAATATTGTTATTTTCTGTGATGTAATTTTCCATGCAGGAAGACTGAACTATACTGGATTTCATTTCATTTAAGGGACATTAAATCTATGATTTCATTTAGGAATTCCATGCGAGCAGATAGCATAGCCACCAGCAACATCAAAAACAGAATTGGCAGCAAAGGATCCTTGGAGAAAGTTGCAGATGTGAGGCTCCTGCTAGAAGAGAAACGTCAGAATAACTCTGGGCCACGGCAGCCAAACAGCACTGTAAAATCAGGTAATTTTATCACTGATTGTGGGGCAGAATTGTCACTGAAATRTATTCATTTCACAGCTGTGCTCCACTGCAGATAAACTCTGCATTCACACAGCTTTTTCCTCACTGAGAGATTGAGGTGGRAATTGCTTTGGGGAAGAAAATCAAGTACACTTTAGTGAAAGCTGAAAGCTTTTTCAGTGATATTTATTTCTATCCATTTTCTCTGCCTGTGCCTATTTCCCCCCTCTTTGTCCTCCTTGAATTGCTCCCTCCTTGAGTCAAAGAGGATTTGCTCTCTCCTTTTCTTTGTGTGACTGAGAAAAACAGCACCCAGGGAAGGTCATGCATGAAACCAGATGTGAAACACTGACTACACTTACATGAAAGAATAAATTAATATAGACATTTTTGCAACTGGCAGGGTTTATTTCTGAGCTTCATTGACTTGTTTCTTTGACTTAAATGTGTATTACTTTAACTACTTCTTACATATATAACATTATCTGGCTGATAAATGAAAAATACCATTTTGTATCCATGAAATGTCAAAGTTATGTTTGTATATTTTACCCCTCCTGCCCATTTTGGACCTCTGACAAGTTGGCATTTGGTCCTGTAATTCCCTTTGCCTTCATATTTTTGTCTTTTGGACAGAGCACAAGTTGAAACATTAAATGTAAAACCGATTGCCAAAAATGAAATGAAATGTGAATAAATTGTATTGCAAAAATTGCCAGGAAATCTGAATAYGAAAGACTTAAATGGAAAGACTAAAGAAAAGATAAAATAGAGAATCTGTCTAGTCTCAACAGTGAATGAGCATAAACTGAGCTGGCAGAGGTAGAGTAAATACAACAGGATTTTTATTTTTTTGTCATTTTAATCACTGAAAATATCCCCAGATGTAAGGCAAAGACTGGGAAAAAGGCCCCATTCTCCAGAAATTAAACCTCCAAGCAGTACCTGTGCTCCTCGTCGAGARCCAATCTCAGATGTGCACAGCAGGCTGGGAATCCCCAAACAAGATGTAAAAGGCCTCTACTCTGACACCAGAGAGAAGAAAYCAGGTTAGTTCTGTGCAATTCCTTTGGTTTTGGAGTCTGAGAGAAATACCAGCAGAAAGCCATGAAGGAGTGAAGTGGAATGAGATTCAAGATAAATTGGGAAATGTTTGTTCAGAGCTTTGAAATCTAAATACAGGTAGAAGCTGGGGGTTTTTATGAGCGGTATTTTTAGAGAGGTGTTTTGAAAATCAAGGACTGCTTTAAAACTGTGGGCACTGAAACAAGAATTAAAACTTGTCAGGAATGCAGGGGCACTTCAGGTGTGAATTCAGCATCCTCTGCAAATGGGGARCAGTGAACCAGACTTTCCTGAGCCTCCTGCAGCTTAATTTCCACTGCTGCTTCAAAGCATAATCAGTTCCATGCCAGACATTAAGGTGGAAGGAATGTGAGGGGTTTGAAGAGATGCAGTGAATTTAAGAATTGGTTCCTTGACTTTGTCCTTTTAGTCCTGTCTGGGTTTTTTGGGTTTTTTTAATGTTTGTTTTTCATCTGCTTAGGTAGTGAATTTAAGAATTGGTTCCTTGACTTTGTCCTTTTAGTCCTGTCTGGGTTTTTTTGGATATTTTTAATGGTTTTTTTTTGTCTGCTTAGGTAATTTATGGACCAGGTTGGGGTCTGCTCCGAAGACACAGGAGAAGACTCCAGAGAAACCTGAAAACTCTGTGGCATCTCCAGAGGAAGATGACTCAGAGCTCCAGAGGGTTTGGGGTGCTCTCATTAAGGAAAAAGAACAGTCCAGGCAAAAAAAGAGTCGCTTGGATCATTTACCCTCCCTACAAATCGAGATCAGCCGGGAAAGCAGCTCCGGCTCGGACTCTGAATCATGACTGGTTTCACAGCCTGATCCTCGAGGTTGTGACTCTGCAGCGTGGCAGGATTCCCTTTGCCCCAAAGCTGGACACTGGCAAAGACTCTGCAGTGAAGGTTCCAGAAGTGTCTYTGTTCCTTTTCTACAAAAAGAGAGGCATAAACCACTTGAAACCTAAAGCAATGACCTTTGTCTGGAGTCTGTGGCTGGCCCTGTGCTGGGTAGGGCATTGTCATCCGTGTTTATTACAGCAAACCTGTAGTGAATTGTAGCAAAACATTCCCCACTCCCCAAGCTTTGAACTTAAAAGATGAGRCAGAAATGCTCTGTATTTTTAAGGAGACCTTTTCTGTTCTTAATGTTTTCATCATGGAGGCTTTTAACAAAATGTTTTACACACTTCATCCAAAGAACGGGGCATTTTGTGAAGCAAGATCATTGCCTTGCCCTTCTGGCTCTTACCAGCACCTTCCCTTTCCTCTTGAAGTAATAACAATAAAGCTTCCTGGGTGGGCAGCCAGCAAGGATAAAGCATGAAGGGATTGATCATCCCGCTCCCTTCCTCCAACACACTGAATGTAAATCCAAGTTACACCTTTTAGCACAGTTAAACTCCATATAGTTATCCCAGTGGCACCACCAGAATCCAAGGAATCCTCATTTATTTTGGTGATGCTGCCTTCTGCTGTAGCAGGGATTGAGATGTTCAGGAACACAAAGTTGGATGTTTGAGAATTGTGTAAACCCCTGAGGGTCTGGGGGTTTGTTGCTGTTATTCCATGAAGAGAGATTCTGTTCCTTCCACCTGGATTATGTTCTGAAGCAATCCAACAGCTGGAAAGCATTTTTCTATTTGTGAGAATCTTCCTTTGGCCACGGTGAAACCTCTTAGCATTGTTCTCCTCTGTGCTGTTTATCTATCTATAATCGAAAGAGAAAAGGCAAACTTTAGGATCACTGTTTCCTATCGAGATTTTTGAATGTTCTTCCTGTATAGTACACATGGATGTGGGCATGGGTGACTTGTTACATTCAGCTTTTTTACCTGCACATTTTCACCCCTCCCTAGGTAGGAAAAGGGTTTGATCAGTGTGCAGCTGCTCTTTTTTTTCACRTTGCCTGTGGCATTTCTTTTGGTTGCCAGTAATTCTGAGCGAGGAATAATGCAGCACACCACATTCAGGTAAACAACAGGTAGCAAAAACATTTTAACAGTCTGAAATTCATTTGTGTTSTCCCTTTGTCCTGTCAGTCCAAAATGTCTATGAACCTCTCTTCCTGTTTCTGCTTTTTAACAACCAAATGTTCCCTTTTTTTTCCCCCCGATTTTTTTTCCTTTTTTCCCGTTTTTTCCCCACTTTCTTTTCCCATTTTTTCCCTTTTTTTTGTCCCTCCCCCCCCCATTTTTGTTATTTTATACTAAGTTGAAGTAGGTTTGAGGTTTCAGCAAGGAATCTGCAATTAACTTTTCTTACTGCTTGATGATGTGTGAGAATAGCAGCGTGTCACATGAAAGGTCAAATGACAGGCACAGTGACTGGAGTGGCAATCTGGGRGCTGACCAGGTTTCAAGCCTTACTATTTCCTCCTTTTGTCACGCTCATCCTTGATTTTATATTTAATTCTTGAATATAGAACTGTCTCATAAAAGTACTGTTGAGAGAAACAACTGCAATGTCTGATCACTGTAATAACTCGTTTGAAACGTGTGCTTTCATTAACATCCCCTCCCYGAGCTTTCCCAGAGGATCACACCCATCTCTCCAGATCCTGATAAAATTTATTTAACCGGTGTCTTTTTGCCAGTAAATCTTGGTGTTGTGTTACTGCTTTGAATCCATTGTGACCTTTCCTTTTCCTGACAGGATGGAGGAGTCAATCCCCTGTTCATGAAGGTTCCTGGGTTATTGGGAACCCTTGCACCGTGTTTCTATGTCAATATTCCTAATTTGAGCCTRGTGAAGGGAATGGGAACAGAGGATCTCTTTAACTGATCCAAAAAATCAGAGTTAATGAATGTGTGAAATCAAGCACAAGGTCTGTGCTGCAGGAAAAGGCATCTCGAACTCTGGTCCTTACCTTCCAGGTGGTCATAAATAAATCCTAAAAATACCTCCACACTGGTCAGGACTGTGGGGTTTATGGTTTTGGGGAAGGTTATGGGTGTTACTAAGCCCCACATTATCTTAGCTGTAAGAAAAAATAGAGATTTCTTGTTGAAGGGACATGTAGGGGAGGGTTTTGTAATTGAATGGTTTTGCTTTTTCRTGATGTACAGAGCAGCCTTGAAAGGTGCTGATGTCAGGAATCCTTTTCATCTTTGGCCTTTAGTTGCCTGAACAAGAACTGCTGGGTTTTGGTAATTAAAAAATGAGCACTGAGTTTTAAGTGAATGTTTTTTTCTCAATATTTTAACTTTAATTTATTTGATCGAGAGAGATTTTGTTCCAAGTGCCCTTCTCTCTGTGCTCAGTTGTTTGGTCTTAGCTAAAATGACTTTTCACTGAATTCCCAACTATTATCCCCTACAAGAATTTGATGCAGAARTTAATGATTGATAGGAGACATGGCACCTGTGTTTTTCACCATAATGTATTTTTTATGTTGAGAATTGCAAGAATGTTGGCTTTGGCTCTTGCTGGAGTACCTGTACCTCTGAGGAAAAACTGAATTTGAGGTGACTTGTTACAGGAGTCCTTATAGGAAGTTTTTGCTGTTTGGAAAAGGTGTATTTTGGATAAATAGTTCTTCAGGTTGACCGAACACACGATGTTGAGGCTGAGATTTTAAAGCAAAGGGGGGTTTGTGTTTGTTTTTAAAACAATAGCTGACGCCTTTAACGGGTAAAAGGAAAGCCAAACACCCCTATTTTCAGYTCAAGATGACACAACGCGAAAAGAATGGAACTTTTATTTAAAAACAGCTGTTCTGTTCCAAATTAAACTGGCCTGAAATCACTCCGACCTCTCCAGTTTTGCTGGAGCACGCTCAACAGCGGGCAGGCCTGGTGCTCCCTGGGGCTAGGAGSGACACGAGGGTCCCTGTCCCGGGCTGTCGCCTGTCCCTGCCTTGAGGTGGTGCCTAAACCCAGGATTTTGGGGCCGGGATTTTGGGGTCGGGATTTGAACAATCCCCGAGGCTCCGCTCGCCGCGTTCCGCTGTCGCACATGGGAAGAAATGGAACCCCCGGCGCACCCCCGCCTGTGGAGCAATGGCACAGCCCACACCCCCCTCCCGCCGCGGGTGGTACAGCCCAAGCCTTTATAAGCAGCTGCCGAACACATTCGCGCCCTTTCCTTCCGTGCCCTTGGAGCAGTGGAGGTGAGGGCGAGCAGAGCCGGGCTCAGGCTGGATCGGGGCCTGCCGGGCGGGCAGCGGCGAGGCGCAGGCCCTGCTTGGCGATCAACGCGCCCGTACCATGGAGCGAGCTGAAGCGAGGGCCCACCCCTCCAGCTCGGCAATGGTAGCGGCCGCCGGGGCTCTCTGTGCCGCGCGGGCTGGGCCGCACCATTGGAGGGGCGGGGGGGGCGCGGCCTCGCGGCGCGTGGCGGCTGACGGCGCTTGTCCCCTCAGGCGGCCATGGAGGCGGCACCGGACCGCCACCCCGCCGGCAGCGCCGGGACCCCGCCAGGACAGCGGAGACGCCTCCCCGGTAAGTCGGGAGAGCTCGGCTGGGCCGGGGCTGTGTGTTTAAAGCATCGCTGCCGTGGGTGGGGGAATCGCTGCTGGGGCAGAGCCCTGGCCGGGCCTCCATGAGGGCTCTGCAGGCAGCGCTGCTGTGGGGAGTGCTCGGCATCCAGCGCCTCCCATCGATTTTATGGCGCTGTTTCAGCAGTTAAGTCTCCTTTTTGATTTTTCGATGTGCCAGACCCTTTCTGTGCTATAAAAATTGGAGCCACAGTTCTGGAGTGTTTCCAGTTTCAATTTGAAAATTGCCCTGTGGGTAAATGCAGTCTTGCACGCTGCATTGTTACACGACTTAAAAGTTAAATAAATATAAATTTCCTGATTAAAAATGGTTTAGAGAGGATTGTGGAGTACTATAAGCTGTCTGATATTAATAATTCGATGATTGATATCAATATAAACACGGGTGGAAGTCTAAGCAGGGAGCTGGTCATGAGGGTCTGCTTTTTTTCTTGTTTTTGCCTGTGTAAACGTACTTCATAGTGCTGAAGAGAATTCTAATAACACTTCTTTTACTTTTTCTTCCAGAGCAGAAAGATGTCTTGAAAGAAAGAGTAAGTTAATTTTTTTTTTTTAAACATTAACGTGTAAACTTGTTAAAAGGGTTCCAGGCCTTTACTTAATGCTGATAACCTTTAAAAATTATATCTTAAGTTACATAAAAACTCAATAAAACTGATTTTGTGAACACACAAGTTGAGCATTAATGCTTCATACACAGAGGGAAGATGATACAACTGTTTGAGACAGAAGTTGAGAGTTTTTTAGGTGATGAATTAGAGGAGTTGCTGGCTGTTGATGATGATAACCCTGAATAGGAAGTGCCGTCAGATGCGAGAACTGACGATACCCTGGTTCTGGTCTGAAATACAGCGACACACACGAGCTCAAACCTAGAAATCCATCCTCTACAACTCAACAGGCAACTTGCACTTCGTGAAAAGTGCTTTTGAAATTCCTAACCTTGATCTATCCATCTGTCCACTTCCTCTGCAGAGCCTGGGCTTTCCCAAGGGATGTGACATACCAGGGTTGGGAGCTTCTGATGTGAAGGTGAGTGATGGGTTTCAAGGCAGTATAGAGAATTCTATACCAGATGAAATAAACATTGAGAGTAAGGCTTATGGGCTGTGAAAAATTTAAAATTTTGACTTAATCTCTTTTCCCTAGAATTTTAAGCCTGATATTTATTTCCTGATGTATTTAGATGGAGCACTGCTGCCAGTTGTTAATGTCCCCCYGTTGATGTGACACTTCTTCACAAGTCCTGTGGAGGGCACTGAGAGAGCAGGGCAGGAGAATCTTCTGGGTGAGTTTAATATTGTGCTCCTAGCTGTATTTTTTTGGGTTTTGGCTGCAGTCGYAAAAATGTTTCTGTCTAAGCTCCAAATGTATAATTAATGAAGTTCTAGGCAAAAAAAAAAAAACCAAACACTTAGACTAAATGACAGGCAGTAAATGTGTAAGAGCAGCTGTTTCTGCACAGAGAAAAACAAAGAGATAAAAGTCTTGCTTCTGCCACAAATGTATCAATTTCCCTGAAGATATCATGTGATGAAACTAACCCAAAATTGCTGGAATTACCGGCAGATTGACTGGTGGTGAGCAAAAGGTTTTCTGATGATATCTSACTCATTAAGTAATTAATTAATGATGCTGCTGGCTGGTTACCTTACCCCTGTTCTATGTTACAGGTGCTTCTGGAAACATCTCCCATGGAGAAGAAGGAATCAAACAAACGCCTGAGTTTGTGGATTTTGTGTGGGCACGTTTTTCTGCCTGTTACAAAACAGCTGAAATAGTTTATTACCTGTGCATTAAAATATTTTTTTTTAAAAAATACTGTGTTTTTGTCACTTTACTGCATTAAGGAATGACTGTATTCTGCAACAATTTTAATGAACACACTGTAATTACTCCTGTAATTTGCTGTAAAATGGTGAAGATGTACCCAGATTACATTTAAGATGTACCCAGATTACAGCCTGTTTAGTGCAGATAATGTCACTGGGGTTTATTGGGGTCACTCCTTCCCTTAAACGGTTTAACCAAGACACTGAGAGTGTAATTACTGCAGRGATCAGCCCTTAAATACTCTGACTGCCAGAGCAGCAAATGCTGCTGGATCTGTAGCTCATTTCCAGGCTTTCTATTTGTCATTTTATCTCAAACTTGAATTTAAAGTCTGCCGCAGAGGCAAAATTCAAGAGTTTGGGGACTTGGAAGGTGCTTAAATGAGGGGAAAAACAGGATTTGAGGCCAAAACTCCTAATTAGCTTAATTATGGCAGGATCATAACACTTCAGTGCTCCTAAACATCCARACTGATGGTTCTGAGCTTTTTGTCCACTTGGTGTCAGTAGGTGGAAGATTTTAGGGTGGTTTTTAGGCTGTGCTTTTTGCAATAGGTAAATGTCAAAATTAATTCTGTATGATCCTATGGCTGGTCTGTGCCAAGGTAGATGACAATATTCAGTGGGAGATCTTTGGGTTGGTTTTGACTTCCCTGTGCAGTTAGGTGAATTCTAAATATTKTAATTTTTATTTCCTGATTGCAAGAAGGTGCTGTGACTTCATGCTGCTCATTTGGCATCACAGGCAGTGTCCCATCAAAACCTCACAGGTGGCTGTGCTGACCTATAAGWTTCAGAAATTTTATAAATTTAATTAATTTCTCTTGGTATTCAGAATAACCAGCATACTGTTTTTCAGAGGAATGTCCTGGTGCAATAATATATAGATAAATTAATCTGGACTTTTTTTTAATGCAGAATTATTTCAATACAGCCARGGTTTAATAAAAACATTCAGCCTTGGGTAATGGAGTAGGCCAAACACGTTTGGAATTAATAAGTTCCTTTTTATCTGAAAGGATTTGGGCAGTGAAAAACAGGTTACTCCRCTGTTTAATTAAAATTCAAAAGTTACATTCTGTTCCCAGTGTTTAATAAAACAAAACTAYTCTTGCCTGATTTTAAGAGCTTGTGTATTAGGACATGTTGACATGTCTTCTAACATGCACTGGAAATAAAAATGGTCTTAAAGCTCTCAGTAAGCACAAGGAATTTGCCTTTTTTAAAAATGAGAATCTGCAGAGTGTGGAGATAAAAGCAGCCACATGCCCTCAGTTAATAGAAATAATCAAATTGCTTCATGAGCTGTTTAATTTGCTGAAGGAAWGTTTGCTACGACTTGTTTTGGTAATTGTTTTTGCTTTCTAGTGTTAGAATGATCTCATTGAAACAGAGCAAAGTTGATCTGGGAAAACTTAAACAGGAAAGAGTTTATCTGGGTTTATTGGTATCTGTCAGAGTTAACTATTCATGAGTTCCATTTTAGCATCGCTTGTTTATTGTTTTAATCAGAACCAAAGTTCCTCAGCAGGGCTCCTCTAACAGGCTGGATTCTTGCTAAGATTAATGGATGGAAAAGTGTTATTTCTGGTGAAAATGGTGCCTTTCAAACAAAACAAATGTCCTCAAAGTTTTACTGTGATCTCAGATGGGAGGACAGATGATTTCATGGTGCTTGAGGGGAGGGGAAATAAAACCGTTCTGTTTTGATTACATTTGGAGCACATGAAACTTAGTGTTGGGGGATAAAYAGCAGACAGAAATCTGGTTTGAAAACACAATTACTTGGGATTTTCGAAAGATTTTAAAAGAACAGTTGGCAGGAATCCCTTGGCACTCTGCAGCAGCCAACAAGCTAAATCTAAAATAGATGRAAAGATTAAAGCAGAAAGAAAATATGCAACAAAGCAAAGAATGGCCRAGTGCCA